ATGAATTTTAGTTTCGTAAGTGCACCCAACGATGCATTCAAGGTTGACTCAAATAGATAATATGGTATATAAAGGTGAATATATATTAGCCTAAATAGCTTATAATTTTTACTACAAAATGTATATTTATTATTGTATAATTAATGGATATTATAAAAAATTAAATTGATCCGGATTAATGATTCCGGATAATTAACAAAAAATCAAAAAAATTTGAGATATAAATTGCTTATAAAATCAATCACATTTTTTATATAATATAGAAATATTGTAATATCATTGTAATAATACTATTAAGTATTAAAATTTTTAATTATGAATTGCGTATAATAATCTGAAAGAAGAATTTTTCAATAGATAACGACGAAACTGATCAGATTGCTAATAAAATACAAGCTAATAAAATAAAATAAAAGATCTACAAATTTCTATACGTGAACAAAAGTAATTACAATAGTTTTATTAATGACAAATATATTTATTATTGACTAATGATTTTATATTATAATAAACCTAAAATGAAAGAATTCATATTTATATTTCCTGATTTAATTAAATTTTGGGTTAGGCTTTTAAAACTACTATAGAACTTTAATAATTCACGCATAATAAAGAATTCAATTTCAGATATGATTTAATTTTTCCTTTTCTTTAAATTAGTATCTTATTACATTTAATATGTTTGTAACTTATAGATAATACTATTATAGTTATGCAAATACTACTCTGTTGTATACATTCGTCAATACAAAAGTTTATATAAAATATTTTCAATACATATTTTATATGGTCTATAATCCATTAACTATCATATTAGTCTTTTCCATTAAAAAAGTTAATATTTTTAAAACTGTATTTTTATATTTGAGTATCTGATAAATAGGATTTCCGCGTATAAAAAACAACTTCTAATTTAAGAAATAAAGTAATATCGTAAACAAGCATAATAATTGCATTCAATACAAATAAAAATTTTATATATTTTGTCTTAAAGAATTTTTAGAAATACGGATAAATAATTAGAATAAAATTAATAATAAAATATTTACAATCATATTAATTGCTAAACTGCAATGATAATCAAACTTTTCAATATATTAATAACATTCAAAAAACTTATTTAAGATTTTTATATTTTAATGTTATGTATTAAGTAATCACTTGGAAAGAATTTTCTTTTTAATCAATGTTTGATCCTAAACGAGAACTTATTCATATTAGTTATTTAATGAAGTTCAAGAATTATGAAAAAAATTATAAAACTCTTCTATTGCATATTATTTTGTAATAAAGAATTATCTAGCTATGATCCCATAAACACTTAAATATTTATTACATAAGTATATAATTGCATTTTTTTTAAACTAAAAAAACCTAGTAATTTTTTAAATTATAACTTTGACATAATGCTTTAACACAATTCAAAGAGTTATATTAATTATGTTGAGTGAATTTAAAATACAATAGATGCTCAGAATTCTACTTTGAATATATTTTGCTTAATTTAAGTTTTGGCTGTATTCGTTGAAGGTAAACTATGATGCAATCCGATATTTTGTGTCTAAATTTTATTTATAATATTTAATTAAAAACGAGATTTGAATCGAATTTCATGATGAATATTCTAAAATTTCTATACTGTATTCTCGTTCAAATTTGTAATCTAAAGTCGAGCTAGAGATCTTATTATATCGGCAATATAAATTATATATTATAATATCATTCAATTTTTTTAAATATTTGCAAAATTATAAAATTTTCATTATGCAAAAAAATATATAATTTGTGTTAAATTTACATAATTATAGATGCATTTATTAATTACTATGTTATACTATATGCTGAAATCAGTGAGCCATCGATATTATACAATTAGTATATCCAAATTTTATATCTAGGTAATTATGTAAATCGCATTGTGTATAAATCATTGATCTTATATTTATAATTTATCACATCATTTCATAATATAACATTAATTTATTTCTTTTAAAAATAGGACCTATTTTTTAATATGTAAAATTTTAAATAAATCAACACTCTCTTGAATATTTACTTTTCATGCTGCAATCTAGATACGTTTAATTACAATTTATTGTAATATGAGTCAGAAATCCATGAATTTTACTAATGCATTTATAGAAAACTTAATAAAATTACTTCAGATCTTAAATAATAAATAGAAAAAGTGAATTGTATTTTCTAGCAATTAAAAGTGAACTCGTACGTCGTTATTTAATTGCATAATTCTCCATCTTAGTAAATTACTTGCAATATAAAAATACACGTAAAACAAATAAACACAAATATTTATACGAATAATTATTATAGTCCAGTTATGAATAAGTATTAGCTAATTATTTATATAGCTTATTTATGCAACTTAAAAAAATTGTTAATAATAATATCATAGACACTTTTAATGTTATGCACGAATAGAAATTACCAAAATATTTTGTTCTGTCTTGAAACAATTTTGATAGTGTAGAATTAAAGAAGCCAATAATTTATTAACAATAAAAATAATTCTTTTGTTAATAAATTCTTATCTCGAGTAATCAAATAAAACATAAAAGCGTTATAAATTATTTTTAGAACAAAATAATTTATGTCGCGATTAATAATTATAAAGTTTTATTTTATTTATGAATATTAATATGAGTATGAAGTATAGAATACGTTTATTTATCAGGTAGATATTCATGTCGTGTGAATCAAATTTTCAGTTATTCAAATATAAAACGAAAAATAAAAAGCTCGCATCATAGGCACAAATTCGACTTAATTATAAGACTGTCTTTTAACATTATAATAACAGCGACATAAATTTGTAGATCAGTCGAATGTCATTACAGTAAGCAAACGAATAATAATCGGACGACTAACTTGAAATTAAGCGATTAACATCCTGGCGCACAAAATATGTGGATGCGGATAAAGCCGATGAAGAAAGCGCAAGGAGCGCACGCGAATGAAAAGAACAGGTTTCCTCGTTTTCCCGCGAGCGAACGATCTCTGCGACACTCTCAGCCGTCTACATCGAGCCAAGCTTGTTGGAATTAATTGCTCGAGCCAATTAACGCTCTCGGCTCCTGTAACGAAGAACAGAGAGGGACAGGAATATACAACCGGAAAAAGAGCCAGGCGGCGTCATTGGCAAAAAACAACTGACTCCTCGCTCTTTCCTCCCTCGCTCTCTCCGAGAAATGAATCTCAATCTGTACAAGAATAACTCGGATAAATAAACACAACTTTACAGGCATTGTTTTGCCTATTAGAGTTTCTTGTTCAGTTTAAAACATATTTTTGCATCCCTTGTTGCTCAGTATAGACGTAAGCGAAATGAGCCTGTTCATGGTTAACCATTCTTTCTATTGTTTAATCGAATTAACTTTAAATACTTAATTATGTAACTCTCAATAAATCACACTACCGTTCAAATTTCTTGACAATCAAATTGCTATTTTAATTTTTTTTTTTACGATTAACGACTACATTTTAAAAAAATTATCATTCCTAGTTTTATAAAATTATAAGCTTAATATCAAGTAATATTAGTTCGCCTTTAGTTTTTAATACGGTTGAAAAGTGGAAAAATTTTAGAAACTATTACTATTATTTAACTTTTTAATTTTATAAAATAACAACTATCTCCCCTGTCAAATAAATTAACTAACAATGTTATTATTGGTAATTATATTAATATACAGATTCCATTTTGTTCCAACGCATTGTTTAAATAATAGCAACAAATGAATATCGTTCTTCGATAGATTACTTATGGTCAAACATTAATTGGAAATTTCGTTCAATTGGTTATTAGGGATAGCCAAGTCTCGAATGTCTTAATTCTCTTTCGCAAATTTTATGTTCGATCATTAAGTGGCTTCTCTCCTTCGAACCGGCTTCTTTCTCTCCCCAACCTTAAAGTACTCGCAATGTCGATCTTTTACCTGCATGGTGATTTCTAATTCCATCGCAATATACTTACCGTTCTTGCTCTTTCATAATTATTACTTGATGTTCATTTAACAATCAACTATTTGTTAATAATTATATTATAACGATAAGTTTATCAATTATTGTTATAATTCAATCCATTGATACACACTTTATAAATAGATAAAAATTATCAAGCTACTCTATAAAATAATAAAATAAACAATGATTCTTTTTTAAGAAATACCTTCTGATTAATTTCTTAATTTTTACAATTATTTTTCATTGCTAGCGCCATCTGGGACTCAAAGACCTATTATTTTTCGCAATCCTCTCGATCGATAACAATATAACCGATAGTAAAATATTTTAATTTAAAAAAAAAATGCTTTTCATTAGATTTTATTTATTTCCGATATAGTCATAATACATTGAACAAATGATGATCAAGAAAATTAAAAATAATAAATAATATTGGATAAGATTAAAATAAAAATCTGTAATATGATTGTGGACAATTTATTTCTTTTTTATATGTACAAAATAAGTGTACACACTATAATCATTCACTCAGAATTTATTTTCATATTTGTCACATTGATGCAATAAAATATTTTAATTACTTAATTTCACAATTCAATTTATCACTTAGATGAAAATTTTTAAGAGAAAAATTTAATAAATGCATGTAAAAAGTAAATAAATTTAAAAAATAAATTTGTTAAAACGTTTTCATGATATTAACAAATATGCACGTATCTTCATTTCATACATTTTTTCTATTCATCTATCTCAATCAAACGTCCTCGTTGAAAACAAATTCAAAATATTTACGACAGCCTTAGGTTCGTTTTAGGCATACACGAGAAATCGTCACTTATACTTATCTATCACTGAAAATGCGAAAACAGCGTCAAAAAGAAAAATTACTTTGTACATTTATAAAACAAGTTGTCTTTCTGTGCCATCTTTGCTCCACTGTCACAAAACTATTACCATGAAGTGTTTTTAATTTGAACTAAGAATATTTTCGTGGTTAATATGAAATATACATATGCAGTTCTAAGGATGAAAAGCTCATACTTAAAAAAAAATATGTCACCCTCTCTAGGTCATAAAATTTAATGCATACAAAATCATACACATTGTAACAAAAACATCATATTTTAATATAAACGCTCAAAGTATTCAAAGTAAATCTTGCTAAATGACTCTGAAACTAGCAGCTAATTCGTCAAGTAAGATTCTTATTTCAATAAGAAAAAGGGATTAAAATAGATTTCATAAGCACTTTAAACATTAAAATACAATAGTGTATCTGGATGTACATTTTAAAATAAAATTTTTAGACAAATATGTTACTGGCTTCAGAATCATACTTGTCTCGACATATACAATAATGATCCAGTATCAATCCTCATTATTGAGAGACCATCTACAAAAAGTAATGATAAAATGATACTGATTTCGCAAAATGCTGATGATAATGAACTTACAGTTAGCCTAACCTACAAATCGTCTTGTGTATTTTTTGTCGCTATTCAATGCCAAGATTTATTTTTTTTCTGATTTTGATTTTGGTTCTGGTTTTTGTTGACTTGGTTTTTATTTTTTGGCGCTCCTCCTACCTTATTTTTTTTTTTTTTAGGTTCATCATCCTCTTCATCTTCATCCTCCGCATCCTACATTGCATGTAAAAATACAAATGTTTTATTTTATTCTTTTCATAATTTGTATTTTCATTATTCAATTTAAGATAAATTTATTCAGTTAATTATGTTTTCTTAAAATCAATTTCATTATTAGGCACAACACCAAGATGAAAAGGTAGTTAATACAGAAAAATCTTAGCTCTTTAGAAATAATTTATTTATTAAAAAAAAAAAAAAAAGTAAAAAGTAAAAAGTAAAAAAATACTGGTGCACATATAATTATACACAAAATGACAAAAATGGTTTGATTAGTGTATAAAATGTGAAATAAAATAACAATTCTTGAATGAATTCTTAAAATATATTATTAATGTACTGATAATTATTAAATGAAAATTCATTGTATTAAAAATTACGTATTTTTATTTAAATTTTAACTTCTAAGGACAATCACTTGTCTACCCCTTCGTCCATCTTAGCGCGTTTGGTGCCATTTTTTTTAATTTCTGAGAAGAGTTTTCGTTTCTTTTGTGGCTCCTGAAAGTTTCATCAACAATTTATACTCTATTGTAAACTATTTACATTGTACTGGTCAATTCTCAATTTAATATGGTTACTTTATATAGTCAAAATAGCAACGATGTAATTAAAATATATCTCTAATTATAACAAAATATAGAACATACCTTTTCATCATCCTCATCGTCTAAATTATCTACTTCGACTTCATCATCTTCCATATCTTCAAATTCTTCTATGTGCGTAGCTGTTGAAGATTTATAATATCAATAATGATAGATACAATTTTTATTCTATCATAGATATTCCAAAACAAACATACCAAGGAGATTGTGTCCAACTATATGAACTGGACCACTTCCTTTAATAAGCGTAAATGTTACTGGTGGGTCGGGAAAACTTAAGTCAAGTATAATTTGTGATGTTTTTCCCATTTCTAACAGGGCAATAGGAATTTTAATTGGTCCTTTCAGCCCCATAGCTTCTACTTGAAGTACATTCAGCTCACCAGGTTTGGCTTCTGGACCCAAAAGTGCCTTTAAAATTACAGATTAACATAAGCTTAAACAAATTTCATATAAAATTACTTTATTTAGAGAATGAAAAGATAATATATTTTTTTATATAGTATGCTCTAACCATGTTTACTATTACTCTGAACTATCCATACGATCAAGTTTGAAATAATTTAATATTAGTTATTATAATGATATAGCAATATGAATAAAAAGTTATACTGGGCAACACTAAATCGGTTATTTAAAAAAATGATTTTGAACAATTGTAGTAAGTTTTAAAAAAATTTTATGTTTAATAAATTATCATAAGAATCAACACATAGTTATATTTTTATTACCACCTTATTAAAAATGTAAATGGCAGGTATATAAAAAATAAGCAATATAATACAGGAAATTTAGTAACAAAAAGAACTATTCAAAAAGAAGGTAAATATTTTACAGTAATAAGACATTATTGCTAAAATTTTTAAAAAAGGAAAAAAAAAGAAAAAAAGTACAAAGAAAAGGAATACTTATGAACTTGTTTAAGCTGGCATGAATATAAAATGCTGCGTATATATGAATTCACACTTTATACAGTGATGTGTGTACATGCATATATACAATTTTCTGTGCATATGAACACACACAAGTATTGTTTACATACATACGCTTGTACGATCTCCAAAAGTAAGATTTTTAGAACAATAGATTCGAAATGAGAATCGGCAATTTAGAATTACGGTGAATTGAAAAGGGTGGCGGGGAGTCAAAAGCAGAGACGGAGAGTGAACGAGAGAAAGAGAGAGCGTGTTATAGGGTGAGAGGGTAGGAACGAGGTTTATAGAGGAGTGAGAAAGGGAAGGAGGGATGACGACGGTAAGGGAGGGAAGGAGATTAGACGGGAGGGAGTAGAGAAAAAAGAGCGAGAGAAATATAGGTAGATGGAGATATGTAAAATTTCATACCATTTTAATGATAAGCTTCTGCTCAACACCGAAGTGTTGATTGCTGTCGGATTCGTCATTTTTTGGCTCGTGGTCCCATACCTCACTGGTCTTGGCACTGTCTAACGTAACTCCTGTAATTAGAAAAATGACGTTAGGCTTTAGTGATCAACCAGTCAATATTCATCGTCTTCGGCAAAGTTCGATGGCCAATTAATTCCCATCGTGGAGACAATTATAGCAGGTAATGGATAAACGCAAGCCATAAGAGTTTATAGGAAATTCCGTGCTGGCACAATGGCCGAACAACGTTTCTGCCGGCGTCTCGACATAGCGGACATTCGAAGAGCCGCTAACCGTAAGTAAGCGCTGGTCTAGAAAAATTGCCGCTCGAGGGTGAAGACTCAAAGAGCCGCTACATTACTCACCGTAAAGATATTCCTCGGCCATAGCGATCGGTTTGATTTTCTTGGATTCGAGAACGTTGGAACCTTCAACTGGCGTCGGTATGCGCTGGTCGAAGCAAGGGACGTACGCGCTGCGAAAAGCGAATAATCCGACCGCTGACGGTCAGGCAGGGGGATGACGGCAGGGACACCGGGAGGGGAAAGTACGGGTAGTCGAACGGTTAAGGGGCAGAAGGGGGGAAACGACTTGAGCGACGCCAAGCGTCGATTCTTACGGCAGATCACCAAATCAGAGATGCGCGCGCTTTGCCGCTCGGCGAGCGCACACGTGTAACGGACGCGCCATCGTCGCTTTTTCTGTGCGCCTGCGCACTTAGAAGCAAAACTTTAGCTTGGACAATTTTGTACTTCTTTACCATATTTATAATATATTATCTTTTAGGAATTTTAACAATAGGCATTAAAATCTTTATATCTCGTTTGTCCTTATTACAATACATTTCAGATTAATTTATGATGCACTATCATTGATATAATTGCTATTCCACACTATCGATCGACTAATTGTATCCTATTTTATGGATCATCAGTGGTTACGAAAAAGAGCGGCTTTCTAATCAATTATAGTAATTATAATTGTAATTATTCAATAGACTAATAATTGAAAAATTTTTAACAACATGCAAGATTATTTAATTATTTAACCTTACGATTGTATAAATGCCATTACAAGTCTATAAACGTTACTTTACGCTTAACACGTCATAATTTAGCTGAGCTTCTGGCAGTTGGCTACTCTGAACTAAATCTAAGAATAAATTCTCTTATCATTGTAATTTAATTTTATAATACAGTAACTTGTATTATTATAATTGCAGTGCAATTTCAAGCCATTAATATTCAGTATATTTATGTGTTAAGTTCTTCTAATATCGATGCGATAAAATATGACATCGATTAATTGATAAGATTGTTTATTAGAAAAAATTAATTAATATAACCTATGAATTTCATTTTAATTCTAGAATCAATCCCGACTTGAAGAAAATGAAGGGTTTACTTCGTATTTTATACTGAAAAAAAATATAGAGATCAAAACAAACAAATACAATATGCATTAGTCTTGTAACATTTTGTATGAATATAATAATCGATACAGTGTATAGTGTGTAGCATTTACTATTATGATACAATACTGTAATTAAATACTACATTTATCTTACGTAGAATAGTATTATATATAGTGGTACGTAGGAAATTAAATAGTTTACTAAAAATTTATCGCATAAACTTTGTGAAATTAAGCGAATTTCACTTTTGCGGTGTAACCTTGAAGCCTTTACAATACGACGGTGGTTCTGAACTTAATACGTGTGCGGGAGTCTGTGCATAACACAGATTTCTCACATGTGCTATGACAAAACAAGACAGCAGTACTGTACCGTGACGGAATGTCACTTTTGTATTTTAACAAAATTGTGGTGAAGGTTTAAAATTCTTTTGAGTTTTCGGTATGCTTAGTGAAAAATACTAGAGGATTTAAAAAACAACCACTATTTTATCAATAAAAAAAAGAAAGAAAGAAAGAAAGAAAGAAAAAAAAAGAAAACAAATGGGATAGCCTACATATAAATAGTGAACGACTTGTACAACAGCATTGCAGGTAATCTAGACATAAATGCTTACCAAAAATAATCTCAATCTCATATGATAAACGTGTGTTTGCTAAATCACAAGTTTTACGATATTTTTTGCTAGTTTTCTTTTAAAAAAAAAGTGACGTTCGTAAAATTTTATATTATTCTAATAGCAATATCGTCCATTTTATACTATAATCTTAACAAATATGCACGTCTATCCTAAAACACACTTTACACAAAGCATTGTTCGAAAATGTCACTTATCAGACATTTTAGCACATATCGTATATGCCAATTATTGATTTATAAAAAATCATATACAAAAACTACAAATATTTATATTGAGTAAAATAATTTTAATTTTGAAGAATAGTTAAAATTATTAAATTTAATAAGTATTTTATAATACGAAAATCTTAAAATTCATTTATCGTTTAGATTTTGATTTAATAATTTGATGAAATTGTTTACTATTTCGAACTAGAATACATTTGCTTTATAATCCTTAGAAACATCTTAATTTTACTATATTTTATTATAAGGATATTTTATGAGATTGTATGTCAAAAATCTGCTTCATTTTTAGATAACCTTATAATAGATTCTATCATAAACATTTTTAAATTTCAATAACTAATTATAAAAATTAAATATTTTTAATAAAATATTTATATAAATATTACTTATAATAAAATGTCTATCATCGAATTATTAATTTAATAATTAATTTTTTTATTAGCCAAATAACCTTGATAAAATCAGGCAAATATTTTTAATTAATATTTTAATTTATCTTAAATTTGTGCACAAAAACAAAAATATTGAATAATAATTTTGTTTTACCATAGTATAAAAATAAATAAAAAAAAAAAACTAAAAGAACTAAAAAAACATTTTAATTATAAAAAATATTTCACCCTAGTTTGAGTAATTTAAATATAATGAATTAATTTGATGTTATTTAATTATAATTTTACGGACTAATGTGAAACTCATAAAATATAATATTTTGAAATTATATGTTTCTCTAATTTTTAAAGAATTATTTTCTTTGAATTAATTGTAGGAACTTTCATTGGATTAAAAACAATTTAAAATTTCATAATGGATGATGATGAAGATTGGAATGTCCCTACTAAAATTAGTTCAAAATTATTGCAACAAAGTAATAATTCAACTACTCATCAAACATTAAAAATTACTGATGGTTACAAATATAGTTATGAGGCACTTTCAAGTCCAGCAAATATTGATGATTGGACCGAACCTCCTTCTTATGGAGGAACAAGACGATCTAGTGGATATCCTCAAAATTTATTGAAAGACAATAATAGATCATATAGGAATGAAAAAATTAATGTTAATAAAAGGTGAAATTTTTCAAAATTAAATAAAAAAATTTGTTTGATAATGTACAGTTAAATATTTTTATAGAAGAATTTTTTTATCTTTATAATCTTATTTACATTGTTAATTATTATTATTTATTTAAATCATTTATTGTAGGTTTGATTCAGTGAAGAGTAATGATAACTTTTCAAACAAAAGTTCACATAGAAATTTTAGTATGTTAAAATCAAATCATTATTCAAATAGAATGCAAAATGTAGATTCGATGAACGACTGGGATACTTCAGACAATACAGTTAATCAAATTAATGGTTCTTGGAAAGGGAACGTAAATATTTCAGTAAATATTGCTTCAGAAGATTGGGATACTACTGCGGAGTCTATGCCACAAAATCATAAATCTGTTCCAAATGCAGGTGAAATACTAATGTTTAATTAAAAAAATTTTAAGCAAATTCCTTCTAACAATAAAATTATAAATGATGTCAAGAACTAGGATACCTCTAAAAATATTTTTAAGAAATAATAAAATCTCAATGAACGAATGAAAATCAATCGATATCTATTTCAGATTCAAATGCGTCAATAAGCAATACAAATAAAGATAAGCTTTGGGATCAAATGAATGAAACATCTTCAAAAAAAAAATCGTCTTCTGAATTAGAAATTTATAATTCAGATTCATTGGTACATAGTTCAGAATTAAGAAATTCTAACAATATGAATGAGACTTGGGATGCAGATCTTTCGAATCAGTCTACATCAAATACTTCTAGAAACGGTTTTACAAAGGACATTCCCCTTTACAATCCTAATAATATGAATGGACAGTCTTATTCTAATAATTTATTTAACCAAAGATATGAAAATAATTATCATTCAAATAAACAAGCACATTCGAGAAATTTTGAAACAAGCGATCGTTTTAACAGAGATTCTTACAGTCGACATTCCCGTGGTAATAGGTACATGTTAAATTTCTTTTCTACATGTTAAACAAACTTTCATTATGTAAAATTGTTAAATACAATCCATAATTTTTTTAGACATAGTCCATATGAAAGGGGTAGTAGAGGTAGAGGTGGTAGAGGTGGCAGAGGCGGTAGAAATAGTAGAGATGGCTCTTATCAATCTTTTCATTCACGCGATAATTCAAGAAATAGTGGAGATAGAAGAGATGGTTCGTTTCAACACAACTCTTATACCAAAAATAGAAATAATGATAGAACTTCATATCAACCACCATCATCTTCTTTTAAAAATACTACAGTTGAATCAGAAGAAGATTGGGACTCACCAAGTGGCTTTGTAGAGAAACGCACAGAAAATAATGATCTACCTCCCACAGTTGTAAGTTGAACATTAAACTATATAACATATTATTTATTCTTATTATTTTAATATTTCAATATTTATGGAAAATTTTTTAGCTTTCATCTGTTGAAACCGTAGAAGAGTCATGGGACTAAATTTAAAATAAATATTAACTCAAGTGCCTAAGACCTTTTTTATGTAGTCAATTAAACAAATTGCCATTCATAAGCCATATTATGATTGAATAAAGTTCAGACTTTATGAGGAACTATCTATAGAATTTCCAAAGAGACAAATTTAAATTTAAATAATCTTTATCTCATTCAAGTGAATCGATATGTATGAATATAAAAATTTTTCATAATTTATAAATGTTATATTTTTACGTAACAATTTAATGCAATATAAGTATTTTAGATTATCTGTTATTATATTGAAAAATTTTTCATAAATTTTTCATGATTAATCTGACCATAAACAATTGTTATAACGTTTTAAATATTACATTAAAGGAAATTGATTAAAACGAAACGAAGAAAAAATATATTTCTTAAATATTTTATAGATATAAGATATATTTACATATTGTACCAAAAATGATTTTTCAGCTATACAAAGTAAAAATGCTATACAGAAAAATAATTATTTATAATATATATTTTATGAGGAAGACATTTTTAATGCAAAAATGAAAATATAAAGGCAGTACCAAATATCAAATGCGCCTTTTAAAGAAAATAATTGTATATTAAAATCAAATAATAAAAAGCTTTGATTATGAATTTTGAATTTTAAAGTTTTACATAAATATAATTTGATATGTTTTAAAATATGAAAACAATTATGTATATAGTACACAGGTATGCAAAAATATGTGTGTCAAATTATTTTCCTTATCTACAATTCCATAATTTTTTAACAGTGACATCACATTATACACTTGTGCACATTCATTTACACTGCTGCTATAGGCATTACAGTTGTTAGTGCCACAAAACAAATCATACAAATTTATTTCTGAGACTTTTTAAAAGTTTTTTCAATTTGTTTTCAATCACTCTTTAATTACAAATTTCACATTAAATGTCAATTCGTGGTCGATATTGGAGTCTGAGTGGAGGATCACGAAACCTCCATCTCGTAACATATACAAATTTAAGTGTATGATCTTTTCCTAATAATTCATTATTACAAAGAATATCAATCTGTAACACAAAATTGAATTTCCATCAAAATTTATAAATAGTAAAATTTAAGGTAATGCTTACTCACATCACGATACTTTTCCATGCCATTTAAAACTTTTTTGGCTATAAATTTTTTCAAATGTGTTATAGTAGCTTGCGCAGAGCATCTTATAAATCCTCTTTTCAATGTTTTTAAACTTGCATTGATACATTCCAAACATACATTCACCTGTAAATAGCACTTAATGTATAAAAAAAATAATTATTTCATTTAAAATAAAAAACATAAATAATTGATATCTGCTTGACAGTAAAATTTTTTTATTACTACATATTATTAAATACTTATATTGTTTATATTATTCTAATTAATTTATTTAGAAAATGATACAATATTAATAAAGATAATAAAAATATTAAGCATAGAATAAATATATTACTATAAATATAATTATTAAAAATCTAATATATTATAGATTATAGGAAATGTACTAGTTTAAAAGTTAAATAGAAAGATTGATTCATCCAGTATTGATAAAATTTAACAATTATGAATTTTTATAAATAATCATATTTTTTAGGATAGTAAAATCTGAATAAAAGAAAGTTTTCTAGATAATACAGACTAATATAATATTTTCATTATCTGTTAAATACTTCATAATAGCAAAACAGTATAGTTTATTACCAAATTGATTGGCCATTCATTACTATTTATTAAATATTTTTTATTGTATTTTGAATTGATGTTAGGATAAATATTTATATTTAAGTTAATTATGAATCCCGTCACAACTAAAGATTACTTAAATACAATGGAGAAGTGTGCACAATATAAGAAAATATTCAAGAACTAATATATTATTGAAAATATAATACAAATAAGTTACTTGGTTTATCGATTATTAAATAATTTATTTTTAATAATTTAATAAAAAAAAAAAAATACCTGTTCATCAGTTCTGTGATAATCTGATTCTGCATGTGCATCAGCACCTGCTTTTTCTTCTTCAACTTCACCAGTATTTGGTAAAATATCTTTTGGGTAAGGCAAACCTCTAGATCTATAAAATTCTCTTTCTCTTTTTATTTCACCTTCATAAGAATAAAGTATTTAATATTAATATTATTTTCAAATATTTTGCATAGTATTTCAACTTACCTTCTTGAAGATCTGGTACTAATTTATAAACTATATCTTGCATAGTCCTATCAAAACTTATATATTGAAGTGGATGGGATTGGTGAATGACTATTTGACATTGTGGACAAGTATTTTTTTCATCAAGATGCTTGACCAAACAACTTTTACAAAAAGTATGAAGACATTCTGTAACTGTTGTTGCATCTATAAGATATCCACGACATATTTTACATGTTATATGACTATTTAATGTTTTCAGTTTTATTCTTCTTTCCATGGTAGTGTTTTTGGTATTGCTTAATCGCTTACTTGAACATTAGTTATCTTAATGCACTCCTTTATAAAAGGTATTCTACATCTCTTCAAATGAAATATTTTGTAATATATAACTACTTGTAAAGTAAAGATTATTGGCGTCATTAATATTAATGACTTTTAAAAACATCTGACAGTTATGCATTTAATTCCTAAATATTTTCTCTTTACCGGAGACTTCTCATACAAAATGTGGTACTCATAATTTCAAGAGCATTTAATATGTAAGAAAATCGTTTACTAAATCATATAAATTAGTTAAAAATCCAACACATTAATTAAATATTGCATGGAATACAAAAAATTTACGTTCAGGAATTACAAACCTAACCTCTACCTGGACGAACAAATTTCTTCCCTAATAAACTATTTACAATTCTACAAAAATCATCAATAAAAGATTTTTTATATTATAAAAATATCAACTGAGATTTATATACGGCGTTGATCTGTTTGAGTGAAAAAGAAATTTGTTAAAAAAAAACTAAAAATATAAATTTAAAAAGTGCAAATGCGTGGCTAATGACAACACTGATTGACGTAAGCACTAGTAGTAGCCAATAGCCACATCAAAAATTTCAGAAAACGTGACTGGGAATAAGAAGAGTGCATTTTACCATCAGTATATTCACTCATACATTTGCAATGAGCGATATAAAATAACGTGACTGAGTAAAAAAATTATATTTTCATGCGCATCTTTTACTATTAATGAACTTACACAGTTTAAACTTTTTTTCAAATTATTTCTGTTATATTTTATTATATTTTTATTATTTGCAAGTGCAACAACGCTTTGTATTAAAATCTAATGATTGTTAATTTTATGTTATAATATTATTGAATCTGTTAATTTGTCTTTTTGAAGATATTAATATATTCGTAACGATGTGTAAATTTATAAACATTTAAAAGAACTTTTCTATTAAACATAGGGGCGTATTAATTACATTGTAACAAAAATTAAAATTGTAACAAAATTTAAAAGTAAATATTATATAAAATATAGTCTTTTTATACGCGGTTTATGCGGTAGTTTTATGCGATAATAGAAAAGTATGAAAGTACTGATGCACATAAATATTCTAGATTTCCATTTATAATATTAAATTATAAATCCTATTTGGAATACAATTTTTGTTACTTGCATTATAGAATGTTTAATACACTCTTATATATTGATTATTTGTATCGTTAAAGTTTGAGTCATTTGCGGATATTATGGGAAAAAAAATTAAACCAGAAAATTAATCAAAATATCATTAAAATAACGAAGATAAAAACATTTTTGATAATGCGTAATAAGAAACGTTTCTTAGACAATAACGAGTAATCGAATATAACAGCTAAAAAAACTATTATTGTCCGAGAACTAAATATCATTATATAATAAATAGGAAAATAAAATGACAAACTACAATTAAGAAATAAAATAATTTACGATACACAAATTCTAGTATTTATAAATAAAAAATGTGTACATATGTTATATCGAATCATTAAATTAAATAGAATAAAGCCACATACATTTGGTATTATAGCGTAATATATACTAAAAAAAAGAAAAAAAAAATATATATATATATAGTTTTAGATAACATATTTTACTAAACAACGTTATAACGTTAAATAACAATATTAAAAGTGACCACTAATTTAGATTAATGTATAAAAATAATTACATAGTGCTATAATCTTAGAATAATATATTACGTAATTACAATTCGTAATTGAAGATTTTAATTGTAAAGTAATCTAATTAGTATATATTCTTCATAAATATAGGTACTTTCTCTATTGTATTCAAGTTTAATATAAGACTTATAATTAACAAAATTTTTAATTTCATCATCTTCATTATATTCGGACAAATTTTATTTATTAAAAAAAAATTATTATTCAATATTATAATTTGATAATAAGAACGAGTACATATTATATTTATTCAGCGAATTACAGTTTATATAAATATAATTCTTATTTCTTACATATACTAAGTATTTCAAAATTTATTTATACACTACACATTTGAATCATGCACCCTTAATGAATATCTATTTACAATTTTTTTTAATATTAATTATTACGTATATTTTTGAAAAATAGAGAAAGAATTTAATATTAATTGATTTCACTTAAAAATGCTTTTATGTGCTTTCAATTATTATGATTATTGATTTAGTTTCTTTAGAGTACTTATGATTAAAAATGAATGTATTATTCTGCTTTTTATTAAATATTAGTTATCAATAATAATGACGACTGCTTAAGACTATGGATTACAAAATAATTTTTAATAATACAACATTTAATTCCTATACAATAATACTTACAAATTACTGCAATTAATATTCACCAGTATTAAAATTTACTGCAGCACTATTTTATTGTAAGTTATACTCTAGACAAAATATATGTATCCAGATTTTTTATTCTTTAAATCATGTACAGCATAAATAAATTATTTAATAATACATTTTTGGTTGAAAAAGATAAGCATCTATACATTATCGAGTTTCGATATTTTGCGCATTTATATTAAAAATATATAATAAAAAAATTTCTTACAAGAATAAGTATAAGAAGCTGTTTCTAATATCAAATGATATTCACATAAATAACAATAGTGGTCCATTCTACTTTCTATATTTTTAACAATCTGTGTTATAATAAATATTATTTCTTATTGATTGCGTTATTATATAATGTTACATAATTATCTTTTGATTTCGAAATATAAAATAAACAACGTATTTTATATTTTAAACTTTTTTTTATAGTAGTCTTATTGATTTTAAAAAATATACATTAAATTTTTCAATCTTTTATAGAATATTTTAGTAAATATAGAATAGTATAGTATTTTAGCGTAGTTATAACTAATAACACTTACTGATATTTTGATTTATTAAACAAAATAAGGGAAACTGAATCCGAGTCATTACAAGCGTACGGAGTTTTTATATTTTACATGTTAGTATTTTTAAATTGACTAGTTAAAAACATTGATAACAGGAAATTAAAAAGGTCTAAATCGAGCTCCAAGAATTATATTTGAGTAAAATGTTAAAGTATTTCGTCAACGTAATGTTTTTATGATTATTAATAAATATAACAAATAATAAATAATATATAAAAATAAGAAAAACATTTACTTTAGTTTATCATCTTATTTAAGATATGTAATACGCAAAATAATATATGATATAAAATTTTTCAATTCTTCGAAATAGATATTAATTAAAATCTTAAAATTTTAGTCAACCTATATCAATGGTTTTTTTTTGCAGAACTTACTAGAATGGCTTATAATCTATAATTAATTTTGATTGTATGAATAACCATTAAAGAATCATATGATCAATTTTAAGTGATGATATTAACTTTTATATTATATGTTTTAATAATATTTTAATAAATTTATCATTTAAACCTACATTATACTTTACAGACAAAAATAGAATAATACTAGGTATTTTTATCATTATTCGATAAAACTTATATTTTATAGATGTTGTTCGTAAATACCCTACAATGGTAATTTTTTATTCATATCTTGTTCGCGATATTAAGTTACAAAAAATACGGTTCATTAATCAATATATTTGTTCACATTACACGATGTGTGTTTATTCTTATATCAGTCAATTGCATAATAACGAACATGTATAATTAGTCAATATTAACGATGTTCACAATTCTTAAAAATAGCTTAAAAGTGGTCCTTAAAAATTTCTGAGGACTTCGAAGAATTTTTCCCCCTCCATTATTCCATATTTATAACTACAATAACTATCCTATTTATTTTATAATTTTTACTTTTTTCGTTATCATTTTATGATCTGTAGTTTATAAAAGATTTTGTTGAAATGGAAATTCATCCTCGGCATCATCATTTTCGTCTTCGCTTGATTCTTGACTCGAAGGTGGTGTATCTAATTGTGGTAGTCCAAGGTCTAAATATTCCTATTAATAAATAAATTTGAATGATAAATTCATTATGATGTTTAAACCATATTATATACTATTTTTATATCACTTTATAAAATTTAATGGTACCTCATTGGCAGTTATTGTGAGTATCCTGTCGAGATCTTCGACTAATTCTCCAAATACTGGTCTTTCTTCGGGTTGATAGCTCCAACATTCTCTCATCAAAACATATCTGTTTACAAATATTATAAAATATAATTTTTTAAAACTAATTTCAACACCTATGCGTTTTAAACAATTTTTTAAATCGTATGATTTTATTTTGCGTTTATTTAATTGGACAAATATACAACATTTTTGTACTATTGTAAAATTTCAAAACTAAAGTATCATTATCGTCTGTTTAAAATTATCTAAAGATTATTAAAGTATGTGATAATTTTTTCAGTTTTCATTTACTAGATAGTATAAATATACAATAATTTGAAAACTTAAATTTCGTAATAGCCTATTTAAAATAGTCTGTAGACTATCATATTTAATACGTTTTATCTATAAATAATTTTTTTATTAAAATTGGCTTTTCACCTACATTTCAATTGAACAGCATGGAGGTTTTTCCATTCGTAAACCAGATTTGAGAAGTTGAAAAAGCTTTTCAACCGATGGCACCGATGGGTACGGAGTACCACCAAGTGTCATTATTTCCCATAAAAGTATTCCAAACGACCATCTTGACAAAAATAATTACATTTATAACAGCTTTCTATTCAAAGTTATAAAGATACCAATGAATTACCATGTTCATGCCGTAAGTTAAAGCATATTATTAATTATTTTTAGAAATTATACATTATTATCTTACCTTAAAATTATGATATAATAAATTAATTAATATAATTTATAATGAATTAATAATAATAAGAGATAATGGTAGTAATAATATCATAATATCTTTAGTAAAAGAAATCAGTATTGTAAACTTTAAAGCTCCACAATATATTATACGTATATGTTTGTTCAAAATTAAGTAGAAACACAACCGTGAATACTTACACATCGGACTGCGTGGTATAAATACGACGGAAGAGGGCCTCAGGTGCCATCCATTTCACTGGCAATCTGCCATCGGTTGTCTTCCTGTAGTAGTCATGACAATGTATGTCTCTGGCCAGTCCAAAGTCAGCAATCTTAAGAACATACTCGTCGCTAACAAGGACATTTCTCGCGGCGAGATCTCGATGTATACACCTCCGACTAGCCAGGTACTCCATACCTCTAGCGACTTGATAAGCGAACGATACAAGATCTTTTTGTGTAAGAGTTTTTTTCTCTTTGCTCATTGACTGCTGACCTATCGCCGACTCGTAACCGGAGGAGCTTCTATGTTCACGCAGAAAATCTCGCAAGTTACCATGCGGTGCAAACTCGACAACAACGTACAAAGGTCCACCTTGGGTACAGGCCCCTAGCAGATTGATTATATTCATATGTTTACCGATTATCTTCATCATCTCCATTTCTGAGACAAGGTCCATCATTTCCGAATCTGTGTGTCCTTCTACGAATTGTAAACAGAACTAGTATAGTATGTAATAAAAACTAGTGTGATATGTAACAATAACTGTTTAAATATTAAATGACTGCTCCGTTTTGTTTTTTCAATCTGGCTATAATGTTTATTTGAATTAAAATATTAATAATATATGAGTCAAAAAAATTAATTGTATCTAGTTTAATTGTGTTATTATTATAAAATGAATTAATATTATTACTATTCCAATTTAAATAATTTCTTACCCTTGAGCATTTTGACAGCAACGATGGTAGAAATGCCAAATTTTCCAGAATTTGTCGTAGCTTTAACAACTTTTCCGAAGGCACCCTCGCCCAAAGTACTTCCCAGTGTCAGCTGCTCTCTAGGCAACTCCCAGGCACTGTCGAGTGGTAGCTCATATTCGGATATACTGCCGGAACCGCTGTTCTCTTCTGCTGTAACCGTCGATTTTTGCTTCTCAATTTTCACCACCGGCATCAGTAATGACTCTTGCACGTTTTGTGAATTCACGAGATTCTGTTTCTCAACGATGACCTTCTTCGTCCATTGAGTAACCACTGCTGCCCTTGCAGTCTCAATTGCTAGAAGCTTCTTCATTTTCTCGCGCTTTAAACGGTGGAAGATGTAAATAACAACGACAACTCCCACAGCGAAGAAAATAAACAATACCGTAGCAAGGATGTTCACTAAAACTGGATGAGGTCGTGCTGTTAATGGTATTCCTTGCTCTTCCATTGCTGTTGAAATTAACGTTTTATTTAGACTTATTTGTTCAATGAATTTTTAAATCAGTAGAAAACAGATAAAATTGTATAATAATCGTTATTTAATTATAACAGTATCGTTGAATTAGTCTAAACTATGAAATTTCATCAAGTAATTAATTTTTTTTTTCTTTTTCCTCATACGTATTATAATTATTCGTAATATTATCGATTGTAGAGGGTATATAATCAAATTCTTTTCTTTATTATATAATATAATTATTTCTTTATGCATATGAAAAAGTTTCGTCTGTATTAATTAATTAACAATCTTCACATGTCTAATAAATTATTATAGAAATATTTATTATGTGTAAGATAATTTTATTATTGTAATAATATAAATTGATTCTATTCGAGTAATGTATTTGAGTATCCATTTGAATAATAATATACTTACATTCGATAACATGTAGATAAGCACTGCTAAACGTATCACCTAGGGCATTTTGAGCTATGCATGTGTACCAGCCTTCATCTTTTTCCGTAACATTAAATATTTCTAATACTTCTGGATTTAATTCGCCACCCGCCTATGAAGAAATAATTAATTGAATTTCAAACGTCATAAATAATGTAATGTACTTATAAGAGATATAGAAACAATGTTAAAATATACTAAAAATTGTTAAAGTAAAAAAAAATAAAGAAAAGTATTAATTGAACAATTGGTTAACAGACACGTAAAAGTACATAAGAAATTAAGTACAAAAATATGAAATAAAGTTAGTAAACACTTCTTTTTTAATTGCATAATATATAATTGAACATTTTTGCACATTTTTTTAGAGATTGTGTTTTTTAAACAAAAAAATAGAAAGTCGATAAAAGTAGTTCTACGCGTAGTGCATAAAAAAACGTCCCCACCTTAGCCTCGACCCTTAAGCTTTCATTGGTCTGGTTGACTGTTTCGAAGGAAATGTGATAGCCGTGATACCACTCGAGATGCCTATGCGTGTCTGACAGAACGACGCAGGTGAAATTCACATTACTGCCAATCGACACTGTTACATTTGCCGGCGCCTTTGTTAAGATTGGCCTTGCCTGTACACTTTCTAAATTGAGAAAAGAGCCCAACACCAATATTTTTATTCTTTGGTCATAAATTAAACACATAATATCGACTTAGATTCGGTTATTGTGATTTTAAGCCGCACCGTTTAAATAAGGCAGTAAAGTCTAATCACTGCATTTTGATCGTAGATTATTTAAAATGATGTATTATTCAGTATTTTAGTATTATTTACAGCGAATGAGACTTTAATGCTTGTTATTGAATTTAAAAAGTTCAATATTTCACTTAATATCAGATTACCCAAGAATTAGGATAAATACAATTAATTAATAATTAACAAAAACTTTACTAAGTGATTGAAAGCAAATTGTATGAAAAATCAATATAATTTTAAGAAATGACAAATAAGGATACAGATTGTATATATACTTTAGAAATACATATAACTTTATGAGATTAAAAATGAAAAACTGAAGCAAAGTGAAAGAGTAATATATATTAAATTATTATTGCTACAATTTTTCTTGATTAATACACAATATAGAAGAACCTCAAATATATATATATATATATATATATATATATATATATATATATATATATATATATACATACATACATACATATACTTATATATAAAAAAAAAGTTTCATTTGCCAGGAGTCCAACACCAGAGCTCCGAAATAAACCATGGGCCCAAATATACACAGATTTATGAGTACGCCTTGTTCATAAAAATACAAATAAACTCGAGCGAGTGCGAAGAAACGCCTGTCTACATCGCCAGGTGTTTTGACGTCGTGCTCGTGCTACAACGCACGATATCCCCAGCAGAATTTTTCAACTACGTTAGATTCAAAGTTTTACATGCTTATAGCAAAACAATATCCTATTTAGTTTTTCACGAATGCTCGGTCCATATAAGAATATGGATTTGCAACCTGTTATTAAAGAACTAACCGTTTATTCAAAACACAAATCTATATAATTTTTATAAGGATATCCTTGCGTAAAAATTTAATTAAATACATCTATAAACACAAGTCACTTACTTATTCGTTCAAATTTATAATTTACTTTTTAATGAAATTATTATTCAATAATAGTAAATCCTAGATTTCCCATGAAATTAATTATTTTTATATATTTAATAGTACGATTTTAATTTATTAATTAATAACTTGAACAAACGATGTAAAATTTTAACCTTATAAATATAAATCGATATTTGTTTGCTTAGTGATTTGGCAATTTATAAATAAGTACTCAATATATTGAATAAAAACTTTTAACAATAACTTTACGCTCGAAATGATATTAAAAAATAGTAAGACAATTGTACAATTATTAGAAATCTTAAAATAGAATTCCGAGCGCGCTCTCCAAAAGTCTTAAATGTCTGTTCACATAGAAGTAAGAGGAGGCAATTACTTATACTTAGTATAAATGATTGTAATAGAAACCAAATGTCTGCTGGGAAATTATCGAACGTTTTGTGGGTGCTACCTGAAGCTCGGTGCCGTTCGGCGTGACCTCATCGCCGGGGTATTTGTCGGCCTTAAGCCACCTCATGTACGGCTCGAGATCCGAAATGATGGGACACGTGAAACTAGCTGTGCGGTTTACCAAAACTGTTATGTTCTTTGGAAAGCCCACGTTGATGTACGGCTTGTGCGGAAAGCGCTCTAGGCTCGGAAAGTTGCATTATTTGCGCATTACTTTGAGTCATATCATTAAGGGATTGAAGAAGAAAGGATTACCGACTATGAAAATTGTATAATAAGTAGTTAGAAATTGGTAAATAAGGTTTATGATTTTCAATAACAATAAACATGTATTTTAAAGAACGTTTGGATGATCTATTTTGCTTTTGGTACACTAATTTAAGGATTTTAAAACTGAAATATAGCGTGGTTATTTAAAGAGTCAATGAAAAAGAAACTCGGTATAAATGAAAATGTACAATTCAAATGAAAATCCCAACTTTACAAATTAACACACATACATATAGGACGAAACTTGATGTTTACACGAAATCCTTGTTTACATTAACAAAATTTATGCCAATTTTTTTGGAAATCCTTTAAAATTTCCAATTTGTCAAATACAAGTGTATATATACAATTTGGCATTCGAAATAATTAAAAAGTGGCTTATTTACCAATTACTATCATTGTTGAAATATATATTTATATATATTATTTAAACAAGTTCTTATAATTTAAGTACTCGTCAATGATGAGAGTTCAAATGCGTATTGATCAATCGACATAATTAAATACTGATTTTTTTTTTGCTTACTCTAACAGTAACAGAATTGTAACAGAAAAGATTACGTATATTATAAAAACAAATCAGCGCTAGATGATTCATATTTTGTATCTCTTTATGGCTTATATTAGTTTAAAACTAGTTACAACTAGACTCACCTATAATATTTACTTTGAAGGTGTGATTGACGCAGCCCAAGTAATTGCACACAATGCAGGTGTAATTACCTCCGTCTTGTATGACGGTATCCTCTAGTCTCAATCCCCATTTATTAGTTACGACAACTCCAAGGGTTCGCTTTGGTTCTTCGCCGTTTTTTAGCCAAGTGATGTTTGGTTGTGGATTTCCGATAGCTGGGCATCGCAGCCTTAAAGAGTTGCCTGCGGGCCTTACTTCCGTCAGGGGTAGCGAGTCTTTAAACATTGGTGGTAGTTCTGGTTGAGTGCGATTCCGCTCACCTGCGGCCATGCTGTCATTGCTTCCGCCATTTTGGTTCTGGTTTTGAGCTTGGTTTTCCAGGTCCGATGGCTCAAGGTGCAGTGCTCTTGTCTCTGGTAAATCTATGTTTCATTTATTTATTTATTTATTTGTTTTTTTATTAAATTTTATTAAGAGGTTCTTCGCTATTTTTCCTACGTTTTTCGAGCAAAATTTCTTTCGATTTTAGGGCAAAACTAGCTAAAACAGTAACGTACTCTTTACTCATACTTATGAAATATATTTTATAAACATCTCATTCGGTGTATTTTTTTACTGACTTAAAATTATGATTAAGAATATTTAAGAACTTTATTTACTTTTTAAAAAATGTTATTGATTGGGAACTGTTTCATGAATTTAATGGAGCATCCGAGATTCATAATTAATGAAATTCAAAATATAAATTGTAGAACAATTATGAAGTAAATTATTTTTCTAAATGATTTTATATATATTATTATAAAAAATTAAATATTTAATATTTATTTTTCATAAGACTAAATATGTCAGCAAAAACTTTAATAAAACCTTCAATTTAAAAATTGAAATTTCTTAATGATCATTTATCCTTGAAAAATATACTTATTTATTTCTAGTTACTTTTAAAATATATATTGTGTATCTATTTTTATTTTCGATTATTTTACTTTATTTATTTATATATTTTCGTTAAAAATAAATTATTGTCAACTTTGATAATTAAGTAGGCTAAATTATAAGTGATTTATCATTCATAAAAGCTTTTGAAAAGTGAACATTTTATAGAATCTATTTTAAAATTTATATTTAAAGAATGTGCTTACTAATTCGAATAATTATTAGTATTCCTTTTAATTTTACTTTATGATAATATATTTTATCACATATTTTTAAAGATTTATTTATTTGTTTTAATGTGTATAAGATTTAATTATATATCAATATAAGTTTAAAACATTTATTTATCTAACACTAGATAAATGGTATATATTACGTATTTTCAATTAGTTTACTTTAATTTATTTGTAATTATAATTTAATATTCATATTTAATTATAATTCCTTTTTCATACATATATTTATATATGAACTTTAACAATAAAAATTGAATAAAATATATTTATAATTATTTAATATTAATAATTAATAATAATGATTCATATATTATGAATTTCGAATGAGACAAGTTTCATGTCATACTAATTTTATTTTGTATGAATTTATAAAATTTTTATAAATGTGTTCTTAATTCGTTTCATCTAAAAATAAGACATGCAAATCACACATTTTCTTATACATGCAAATTTATAAAATAATTTGTAAAATTTATAAAATAAATACCCATGCTTTAAGATAAATACGGCCGACGTTAAGGCATTCAGAAGTAGATTCATATGTATAAACTTTAAATCAGGTAAGTTTTTAAGCATCTAATTTGTTGTTCCGAGAAATGGAAGTATGTAACGTACCCCTGGAGTCGCCAAGTTCGAGTTCGTTGGTCTCGTCATCAGCGCGAACAGCCCCTAAGACCTTGCCAAGCTCATCGCTCTCGCTCTCTTTGGGGAAGATATCATTGAGCTCAGCTTCGACTTGTAGTTTGAGGTACCGCCATTCGCTACTGTCGACAAGGCAAGCGTAGGCACCAGCATCTTCCAGCTTTGTCATCTTAAAACGGATGCGCTGCCTTTGAAGGCGGATGCGAGACGTCGGGGCCCGGAAGGGCTCTCCATCTTTGTACCAAGCGATGCTGCCATTAGAACTGTCGAACGCGCAGATAAGCGTCAGCCTGTCACCGCTAGTTACCGTTACGTTTTCTCCAACACTCGACTCATCCGCTAAAACATACGTTACAACTATCCTTAACAGTGTGCTTGTTTCTTACATTTTAAATTGTCAATTAATGTATGTAGCTAGTATTTTATCAGTGTCAGAGTTGCTAAAGCTCCAATATACTCGCCAAAACCTGAACAACTTCTATTCACTGGGTTCTCAGGATATACTAAATAATTTTAATAATATTGGATGCCCTTTAATAATACATACTGAATCGAGCGGATAAATGTAAACGATCCAAAAGATATGAAAATATCTTGTTAATAAATTTTTTTCAATAAATACATAATTTAAATTATTCATAATATCAATAACTATTAATAAATACGCATTTATTTAAGAAACTATATTTTTGCTTTTTTGTACTTTTTCGAGTGTTGTTACTATCGAAAACAAGAAGGGAGAGAAAGAGGGGGGGGGGAGTAAAATTATGAGTACGAAAGAATATAAGAAAATACGAAATATGTTTGTCAACAGATTTCCCAAATTTAGAATTCAATTATTTTTAGATAATTCTATTTCGAGTAGATAACAAGGTGCTTCTCGATCCTTGCCAGTTTGTATGGTGAACCCTATACGACCTCCGGTTAAATTTCGAAAAACAAGAGAAAGTTAAGAAACGTTGAGAAACGGAAAAATAGGGGAGAAATAAAAGACACAGGAAAAGGAAAATGTGAAGTGATGGGCGCGGAACAAATCGGTTCAATTTGAAAGACTCATGTCATTAACTAAGCACTCAATATAGGGATCGCGAGCAAGAAATTATCGACAAATAAATTATATCAGACATTGTCATTCCATTCTTTAGTATGCCAATATTCATGTACGATATTCAAAAGTCGATATATATATATATATATATATATATATATATATATATAAATTTAAAATTAGATATGCTTTTAAGCATCCAATTCGCTTAGACTTGCATTCTTTTTCCTTGGGTGCGAAATTTCGACTGCATACAGTTCAATAAATCTCATGACTATTTATTGGATGTTATAAGTTTTATTTTAGAAATTTTAGATTTTGTAACTATTATAAACATATGAGGGAAATTTGGCTCCAAAATGCATTGAAAATTCATATAAGATTGATGAATTATTGGGTTAATTAGAGTCCAGAATTGATTTTAAATTTTATCGCCCTTGTTATAGCAGCGGGTCATGGCTTCAAGAATTATTAAATTTTTCTAAGTTACTCAACCATTCAATAGATAAACACTGTTTATATTAAATTATAATAATTTGCGCGTAAGTAGATGGAACTCCAATTTCTTTAAGTTATCAAAAATCCAATGTGGATGCTGAGATGCCAAAGCATTTTCTTTGAACAGCTGCGACATGTGTATGCGGGCAGATACATATATTTGGTTTATTGTGCTTAGCCTGTGCTCGATCCATTTAAATAAATCCCAGCCTTTTGGTTTTGACCCGGTCCTACTTCCATTAATTTACACGTGTCCGTCACGTGTTGTTGCTCTGTTTCGCTATTGCAGTTTACCCTTTTGGCCCTTTTTGATCTTTTATTTCCTTTCCATTGCTTTCTTCCCGTATTTCTTATCCATATTTGAAAAAAATTCAAAATGAATATGCGCTCGTGTATTTTCTCTCTTTCGTAAAACAACAATTAATTAAAACAATAACTAATAATTATATATACTCAAAATTATTGAATTATTCTGTAAAAAATTTTTTAACCAGCTAATTAAAAAAATTATGAATAAAAATTCTTATAATATGCTTTTTCTGCATTAGTGTTATGTAGAAACATGGCATTGAGATATTTCGAGATATTTGGCAGGAAAGTTGGTATTGTTGATATAAAAAGTCCTAAAAAAGTGTAATTTTTAAAATATCGGATAAAATATTTTAATAAGGAAATTTTTTCACTCAACGCTAGTATATACTATTCAAATTGTGATAGTGAATCTGCTGGATTGGGTGAGATGAAGGGGGAAGATACACTAACAATGTACTCCAATAAATCAATACGTCTCTCGTTCTTCCTCGCTCTCGACCTGTTTGTTAAATAATAAAGCGGGTGTGTGTAGTTAGTATTGCTTGACCACAGGGCATTCAACGACCCGGCAATTGGACAATTGAGCCCAATCATAATAATACTCCTAGTTTAGTATGAGCAGAGAGAGTATTTGGTCAGATCACTAGGCGCGCGTCCCTCCATTTTTTCATACTCTTTGCGCAGGCGCATGATCCTCGCTATACGACGCCATAGTAGAGGAACCCGGGTTATTTGAACATTAATTA